CCCAGTGCAGCAATAGAAGAGGCAGGAAACCACTCCTACATGGAAGAGAAATGGATCTGGAGTCAAACCCCAGGGTCTGAACCCCCCTGCAGACCAGGTACCAGCACATCACTTAATTTACCTGATCCTTACTGTTTCCATCAGTATCAGAAGAATTCTCTACTATTCCCACTATTCTTGCAAAGATATTCTGAAGACAAAATGTGATCATGGCTGTAAAAGCATTTTCTAAGCTTTGAAGTGCTACCATGAGTGTTTTGTTATATTCATTAAGAAGAATAATTTTTTTAAAAAAGAATAAAGATGAACAAACAAGAAAAACAAAAACATGCCACTGAGTGATCTGGTCTTTAGTTTAAAAGCTGAGACTACGTAAAAGGAAATGCCAAACACAACAAAGAAGTTTATTGGAAACTTCAGGAGTTCAGTGATCTTTAAGATGAACACACTAACAGTTTTCAGGGTAGGGCAACTGCCAAATTTTTTCTAATAGTTTTTTTTTCAACTTAAAAAGTAAACATCATATTTCTTTAAGAGACGGTCTTATGATGAATACCGAAAAATGATTAATAAATCCTGTAATTGTTAATTATCTGATTATTTTTATATAATGTTATTTGATTCATATTATTTGATGTACTTTTAAATAGTAAAAATTTATGTTAGCAGCTTTCTTAGGAAGTATAGTTTTCTTTCATAGAATACTGAAACTATTTTACTTAAACATATAGTTTTATTATGTTGATGGTTGGCTTTTGTCTGATGCTTTTTCTGAAAATACACATTTGACTTCATTTGTAATACATGGCCGAACCAATGAAATGTAGGATTTGCTCTGCAATAAATGATTTCAATCTTAACTGAGTAATTTTCATACAAGAGTAAAACAAATACTGCTTTTTCCTTCTCCATGAAAATTGTCATTGGAAATATTTGCATATCAAGAGCAGTAATTTCTAGCAAAATTAGTATTTACTATAAGAAAAGGGGCTATTTTATATTAGACTAATTAAGGAGAGATTTTTACTCTAAAGTGAAAAATCTCTCAAGACTCACTGGGCTCTACTTTTCTCTCCATCTTTTCACTCAGATAAATGGCTTATTTGATCTTCATTCAATATTTGGTATTAAAGCCAACAGACTTTCATATGTCATTTGGACCACAAAGAATAATTGCATTCTCCCCCATCAGTGAAATATTGCTTTCCTTAGACTGTATGTTGTCCTTGCTCAATGGAGTGAGATTCTTATTGATTTACAGTGTTAAAGTTCCGATTGTGTTCACTCATTTTTGATGAAGATGACAAATCCCTGTATCAGGGTGGCTGTGGTTCTGCCCATTAAATAGAGTGCAGACATCTTCTTTTCTGTTTCTGATTGGCTTGCTTTTGTTTTTTAAATGCCTTGACAGAGAAAGAACAATTTAATGCCTAGCATGCAAAACAGAATACTTCAAGGAAATCGATAATTACAGAGTAGAGAGCAGGGTCCTGTTAGTGAGGTTTTATTCTATTTTACCATTTCAATGTCTGAGCATTTCTTATGCTTTCCCTTTGTGTTGTGCACAAAGGTTTCTTAAATGCTGAGTGTATAATCCAAATTATGTGTTAATATCATTTAACATTCTTAATAATCACGTAGCTATGAATTTATGGAAAATTGAGGTTCTTTAGAGGGGACAGATTAGTAGTTAAAAACAGATACTAGGGACATAGGCTGCCTGGTCCAAAATCAGCTATGCCATTTAATAGCTGTGTGATTTTCGAAACATTACATGGCCCCATTGTACCTGTTTCCTTATCCGTAAAAATGAAGTTCACCTTGGAGATGGAAGGATTAATATCGGTGAAGCACTTACCATGGTACACAGTGAATCATTTTTAAACAAAAATCAATCAGTAAATTGAAAACATTATTTCTGCAGTCAGGTGACACAGGTTCCTTTGTTATTGGTAGGGAAAACATCTCAATAGTTTCTCCATGTGGTCTCCTATCATTCATAGAAGATTGAACAAAAATATCTTCTATTCATAACTTTGGTAACAGAACAGTTGGATTTTGGAAACAGTGAGGCCACCCCATCATTTTGACACTATCCTTGAGATATAGAGAGAAAATGTGAAGTCTCTGAAAGACACAAAATCTGCCTAACTAGACAGCATCAAAGGAGGAGAAAGTGAGACTAAGTTGAAAGTGTAAGTCAAACACAATCTAATAAAAAACTAGCAGAGACAATCTACACAAGAGGGTGCTGATTAAAAAGGAGTTTTCACAGGACAGTTTTGACACGACATTTTGAGGCTATTTCCAGTCTTCAATGCTTTTTTAGAAATTCCTAGTCAAGGAATTTTGTCACCGGTTTAATGTGTCTCATTTTCCCAACTTAAAAGACAGACAAGTTATGCTGAATCAGGATAAAAATTGTCTCTGTGGGGAAATGGTTGGTGACTTAAATGAACAGGTTCAATCTTGTGAATGAAAGGATTGGGGTTATTGTAGAAATCTGGTTGCTATCCATTCAGCACCACCATACCACTGAAGCAAAATAAGACGAAGACTAGGAGATCTAAACTTACTAAGATATCTAGAATGAATTCACTCCCAGTGTTCACTTTTAAGTGTGGAGGTGATCTAACATCACACAGCCAAAGTGAGACTCTGTACCACTTCCAAACTTATTCACTTGCATTAATGTCACCTTTTGCTTGTAAAAGAGACAAAGCACTTCTATTACAACATATAACAGAGTGAATTAAGACTCTCTTCCACAACAGGGTTAGCGATTTGGAGGCAGGGACTACGTCTCAGTCACTTGTTTTATATTCTGAATGGCAGGCATCAGAGATGGTAGATTTGGATTGTATTAATTTAGCTAAACTGCGACTACATGTTCCAGAATTCCCTTCCTTTCATAATTCCAGGTTAGCCTGGATCCCCTGGGAGACATTTTGCATGAGATTTGTAAGATGTAAGGGAATCAACAGCCATATTCTTTTTATGTCAGAAGGTTGGCATAGGGTGTGAGGCACTGTGGTTACTCAACAGGTTGCCGCTGGTCTGCTACCTCATGAGATTGGCACGGGATAGCAGATCACCCCACAGTTCTGTGGCTCTCTTCCTTCAGCTTCTGTGGCTCCTGGTTACATGAGGATGGGTACTAGTTTCTCCTGCTGGCCACCCTCATTCTCTAATTGGAGGCTCAAGCATTGTGAGAGATGGATATGAGCTCCATTCCATCCTGGTGGTTTCCTGCTCATTTTCACTAGATCTCATCTGTTGTCTGCCTTCACTTCACATGCATCTGTCTTTCCAACTGCTTGCCTCGTGGCTCCAGGCTCTGGCACCAGATAAATACACACACACACACACACACACATACACACACACATTTAATAGGCTCGATTATCAAGGTTTGATTACAGAAGCAGAACTACTAGGAAAACACATATTTATTTTATAGATGAAGATAACGATAGAGAATTAGTTACTGTCAGGAGCACTGGGTGGCTCAGTCAGTTAAGGGTCTGACTTCAGCTCAGGCCATGATCTTAGGGTCCTGGGATCAAGCCCTGCATCAGGCTCCCTGCTCAGTGGAGGAGAGTTTGCTTCTTCCTCTCCCTCTGCCCCTGCCCCAGCTTGTACATAGGCTCTGTTTCAAATAAGTAAAATCTTTAAAAAAGAATTAGTTACTATCAAATAATAAGAAATATGTAATAATGGTGAGACTGAACACTTCTGGTGTTGAACCCATTACACCAATGCACCACGATGCTCCTTTCTATCTACTCATCCCGTGGTATGAAGGCTGAATTCCTAATTTCACTTTAAACCCACCATTAAAATGTAAAAAGAGATTCTGACCACCTACTCCATGAACAGAGTGGCACCAAGTTAACATCCATGCAGTTTAGGGCAATAAAGCACAGTTAATGGACTTGAGAAGAAAGTAGAATCTGGGCAGCCCAGGTGGCTTAGCAGTTTAGCACCGCCTTCAGCCCAGGGCCCGATCCTGGAGACCCGGGATTGAGTCCCACGTCGGGCTCCCTGCATGGGGCCTGCTCCTCCTTCTGCCTGTGTCTCTGCCTCTCTCTCTGTGTCTCTCTCTCTCTCATGAATAAATAAATAATATCTTTTTTTTTAAAGAAGAAAGTAGAATCCTGATAAACACTTAATCAAGTTCTTCTGGTTAGAGACAGTTCTCTTATTGAAAAAAATCTACCTTGCAACGAAACTGGAGTCCTCTATAAAGTAGGAAAGCATCACTAATTAGTTTGTCTTCTCTGTTCTCCATTTCCACATCTCCTATTAAATCCTCCTCCCTTCCCACAACCAGTCCACAGTAATGGGGAACTAGTTCATTCTTACGACTATAGGCCCCAGTAAATTGGGAGAGAAGGCTGGGCACTGTAAATATCCATCCTATGCAAGCTACTACCTAGGTTACACCCACTTTTCTATTCCATTTATTTCCACTCCACCTTCACCCACACTCTGAAAACCCCATGTATCAACCACTCAGAAATTCTTAAGTTCTTGTTTTCCAAAAGTTAGGTTCTCTACAAATCGAGCAGACATTTCTTCTTTCTTTCAGCTTTCCTCAATTCCCCAGGCACAGTTGGTTTTTCTGCCCGTGTCTTCCTTTGCTAGGTTTTGACTTTCCCAGGAGGAGGCAACTGATAGATTTATCTTTATATACCAAGTGCCCAGTGGAATAAGCATTGCGCACTGACTTAGAAGAATTCAGGTGCCATGTGTTCAATTCAAGAAACCAAAGTGCAAAAGATGACAACATTCTGTCCATTGAATGGCAATGGGATTACCAAATGCTATTATTTTGATGCCTACCATAACATGTCCACAAAACTGTACCGATGGCACAGTGATTACCATGGTATTAGTTTGTGTGTAATTAATATAGTCCCTTATTCTCCACACAAAAGGAAGCAAGGTGACTCTCAACAGCTAATGTCTACAGGACCCAACGCTGGACTTCCACTTACCTCCGAGTTCTGCTTGGTCTGTACTCTCATGTGTCGTTTTGCGAGCTGCTACAGCAGATCATGACCAAATTCCATGTCGAATGGGAAATGGTGTCCACTCTTTACACTAGCAAAGAACAGGAATGATTTGATACAGTTGTGCAGGAGAAACACATACACAAAATAATCTGACTAGAGTAATATAATGCATGGAAACCTTGTCCTAATTCCCATCATACTTAACTCCTGTGAGTGTAAAGCACAGTACATTTTGCTTCTGTTTGGTTTGGTTTGGGTCTGCTGGTTGGTGATTTTGCTTTCCTTAGTTTTATTTCTCTGACTGTTTCTTTAGCTTTTCAACTCCTGATGCAAATAGTGCAATCTTATCATCAGCATAATGTTGTTATCGAATACAGCTAAATAAAACTTTAGTCATGAGGAAATGAAGCCGCTTTCTATTCCCACAAAACCTAAATTTAAATATGTGTAACTTTGCTCAAATTAGTCACACCACTTTCTCCTTGAGTGTTATCTAACCACCCACAAGTTGGCTCAATTCTGACCCAAACAAAAGGCAAGCTAAACACACAAAAGGAACAGGCTTCTTGCTGTGACAGTCCTGGTCATAGTCTTTAATATTCTGGCATCTTCTTAATTTTAGTTGCAAGTCCAGGGAAGGCTTTTCCTGTGCCATCTATAAATAGAACTCAGTAGTACATTACCAGAACACTAGAAGGTCAGTTAATAACCTAATAGCTCATCAAAGAGTGTGTCTTTCAGGTAAGTGCTAGTTGGAGACAGCTATTTTGCTCTTGTGCAGCAGACTTGATGTGCTGGCTTCTGTCTAGGAAAGCCTTGAATTAGAGATCTACTGAACAATTTTTGTGGTTCAGCCATTATGCTAGGTGCCTTGTTTTGTGAGGTTACTTTGGATTATTTTCCCAAAGTAGAGACAGAATGTCCTCAATTACCCATTGTTTGGAAAAGTCTCACATGAGATGTGAAGAGTACATAGTCGTGAAAAGACTGGCCAAGTTTGTGGGTGAGTAGATATTTTTCTGGGGCAGAGCCAACTAACTAATCAAGTAGTAACCTAACCCAAGAATTTGGTCTCACAAAAATTATCCTTTAATAGTACTTCTCAAAATTTTCCACTAAAAGAAAAACCTGGAAAAAAAAACAAAAAACAAAAGAAATGAATATGTTATCTTTATCCCTACCCCAGATCCTAGAGGATCTGAGATTATAACACAAGGGATTGGGCTCAAGCTCAAAATATTCTGGTTTTAGGATTTTTTTTTTAAATCTCTGCTCATTTTGAATGCTGGATATATATCTCAAAATACCTGAATTATAAAAGTAATTCTTTAAACTGCTTATCAGTTCAATTATTTAATTCCTCTTATTCTCAATCCAAATTCTGGAGCTAAATTAATGTTTCTGAAAGGTACACCATGTTTATCTTGTGGATTCTCGTAGTTCCTGGCATATTGTTACTACCATGAACATAGTCATTTGGAAGCAGCACTCCTACATGCGAAAGATAGATTACATGCAAATATAGGAGAGAGTATATAGTAGCTGAAAAATTTTGTGTGAATGTGAAGTTAACGGAAGAGGAGACGATGCCATTAGAAGGATAGACCATGGATGTCTTTTAAGGTAACCTGTTCTTTTGTCTTAATTAAGAGAAATTACTTTCTCTTTGACCAAATTACACGGTTAAAAGACTATAGCACTGAAAATGCTGCATTAAATTAATGGATACTTCTACACCCAAATGATCACATTTTTATTTATTTTTTTAAAGATTGATTATTTATTTATTTGACAGAGAGTACAGCAGGCAGAAGGAGGGGGAGAAGCAGACTCCCTACTGAGCAGGGACTCCAATATAGGGCTCAATTCCAGAACCCTGTGATCACAACCTGAGCTGAAGGCAGATGCTTAGCTGACTGAGCCACTCAGGCACCCTAAATGATCACATTTTTTGGCATATCTGTTTTGTGGAATTAAAAATGAAATAACTAATAAAGTATAGTTCTTAATGTCTTTTATAGAAACTGAAGCTTCCAACTTATCATGTCTGTATGACAAAATACAATCAGGGTGAAAATGCCTTATGTCGCTGTAATGGTTAATTTTATGTATACATGTGGTTAGGCTATGTTGTCCAGTTCTTTGGTCAATCATCATTCTAGATGTTTTGTTTTGTTTTGTTTTGTTTTTAAGATATTTGTGAGATGTGATTAACATTTACAATGTGTATACCTTCAGCAAAGCAGATGACCCTCCAAAATGTGTGTGGCCCATATCCATGCAGTTGAAAGTATTAAGAACTAAAATTGAAGTTTCCCGAAGGAGAAGTAGTTCCACCTCAAGACTTGCAACATAAGAAACTGCTTAAGTTTCCTGCCTGCTGGTCTAACTAGCAAAGTTTGGATTCAAAACTATAATATTGGGGCACCTGGGATGGTTGATTAAGTGTCCAACTCTTGATTTAAACTCAGGTCATGACCTCAGAGTCCTGGGATCCAGCCCCACAATGGGCTCTTCACTCAGCAGGAAGTCTGCTTGAGGATTCACTCTCCCTCTCCCTCTGCACACACCCCCATTTGCATTCTTTCTGTCTCTAAAAACAAATAAATATTTTTTAAAAGACTTCAATATCAACTCTTACCTTAATTTCCAACCTGCCACCTAACCCCACAGTTTTGAGACTTGCCTTCCCTGACAATCACTTGACCAATTCTTAAGAGTACATCTTTTTCTGTCTCTTCTTCTCTATATATCCTATTGGTCCTGGTTCTCTGGAGAACCCTGGAACCTCTAGAATTTGGTAATACAGTTACCAAACTAAGGGAAAGAAGATCACAAATGTAAGGCAATGAAAAATCTTATATAAAATGGTTCATAGTAAAAACAATTATTTCAAGGATAAATGGGTGGCTCAGTCGGTTGAGTGCCTGACTCTGCGTTTTGGCTCAGGTCATGATCTCAGTGGGATCGAGCCCAACCAAGGTTGGGTTCTGCTTGAGGATTCTCTCCTTCAGACCCTCCCCTCTCTCACATATGCACACGTGCCTGATGTCTCTCAAATAAATAAATAAATTTTTAAAAAAATCTCAGTGTTTAAACATTCTAAATTCTAAAAGCACACCCTGAGAAATACCCACATGCCTCAAACAAGGCTATCCCCCTATTGCTTTTGTGAAAAAAAGTTCAATGGGTGGGTGTGCTAATCCTATCTTATTTTATCATGGTCCTAGGCCATTGAATTGCCCTTAATTATGTACAGACCCTGTCTTTTTCTGCCAGACTGAGGGCAGGGACCAAGTTTTTGTTATCTTTGTATCCAGATTGAATAAAAGATTATTGATTGCATGGAACATGGTTCTAATTTAAAATGGGATATAATGGAAAATTAAAATTCACCATAATAAAATATGATTTTGGTCATGTTTGCTTGAACATACTTTTTTCTTTAAAAAGAAAAAGAAGAAGAAATAGTTGAATGTTTGCTTTTAAGTGAAAAGAACAAATCTATGGAATATAATCTAAAGCCCTTTAACTATCTGAAGTCTTTTAAACTGTACTCATATAAGTAAAATAAAATTAAGAATTGAGGTGATATTTCTGGACCATATTTAAGGTAACAATCACCTTTATTTGGAAGTGTCAAGTAAATCTACTTTGGGGCTGTTTCTTACGCAGATGATTAACTTTTCCCAAATTTCCTTTGCATCTGTGGACAGTTTCAGGCCTATTTTTGAGAGTGAATGTGGAGCCAAGGTAACTGGAAAAAGTTGTATTTAAAAGTGAGAAGCCTCTTTTTGTACATTTTATATCTGAATCCTTTATTTTAGTGTAGAAAACCCTGGGAGAAAATAGTAGATCCCATCTTTTTCATGCAAGAGCAGCTATAAAAAAAACAAAGCCATCCACTCCGTACATTTTAATAACCACAAAGTCCAGGGTATGTGCAGTCTAAAAGATGATGATGAGATTTCCCCTCCAAGTTCTCTGAGGCTGGCCAGCTGAAAAGGCAGGAAGCAACTAAGCAACTGTCTCTGCATAAGAATTTTTCAGTGCAATGCATTTCAGAGTGCAGACAAGCCACTTTTTTCCTCCCAGAAGCTGAGCTCTTGAGCCTAGCAACCTTAACCAAAAAACAACATATCTGAGTTTATTTCAATGCTGATAGATGTGATGGACTAAATGTTCATACCTTCCCAAAATTTATACATTAAATCCTAATCCCCAATGTGATGGTATTAGGAGGTGGGACTTTGGGGAGAGGTAATTAGGTCATAAGGGTGAAGCCCTCATGAATGTGGTTAGTGCCCTTATAAAAGAAAATGTGCCCAGAAAGCTCTCTTGCCTTTTGTGCCATGTGAGGATCTAGTGAGAAGATGACCCTCTGTGAACCAGAAAATGGGTCTCACCAAACCCTGAACAATATGGAATCTTAATGTTGAGCTTCCAGTATCCAGGACTATGAAAAATAAATGCTTATTGTTTAGCCCACCAAATCTGTAGTATTTTTGATACAAAGCCTGAATGGACTAAGATAAAATGCATCTGAGAAGGACTGTTTGTTCAGAGCCCTTATCCCCATGGTTTCCAGTAAAGGGACCATTTGAAGATGCTAAGACAGATGGACGAACTGCTGGTCATTATTTGCTAAAAGCTGAGAGAAGAGCACATCCTAATTAGGGGAGAGGCATTTGGAGAAAGCCTTCTAATGCTGTTTACTGCCCAAGAAAACTATTTTTGCTTTGTAGCCCCCTGGCTGTTAGCAACAGCTGGCATTGGCCAAAGAAGGCCTGGTTTCTATGGTGATGAAATTTGTGTGCTCCTTACAAGTCTTATTTCATAAGCACATCATTGGCCTCAACACAATCTTGATATTAAGATACCTTTTTATTATTCCAGTGATCAAAATAGAGGAGCCGTGTCTTTATTTACCTCATCCCCACTTCTGTATTTTCTTCTACATCACCTGCCTACCATCTACAATGCTCTTCCTCACCATCTTTCTACTTATTCAAATTTATACCTCCCTATGGTCTTTTAAAATTTCTCAAAAAGCCATCTCTGACACATTTAGTCTGCAGAATCCTCTCCATTTTGGAAAAAATTCTGGCACATGACCTCATCTACAACTACTCTTCCCCTTGGAATTTTGCTTCTGGCACACTAATCTCCTTGCCAGGCATACTCAGAACCTTGCACTAGCTGTTCCATCTACCTGCACTGTGCTTCTCCAAGGTATTTATATTGCTCACTTCCTCACAGCCTCCAGGTCTTTGATCAAATATCACCTACTTGGGGAAGCCCTCTTTGACAATCCTACTTAAAAATGTAAACCTCTGACAGACAGCTTTAAAGATGGCTCCCTAAGATCCCTGTTTCCCGGTGTTCATGTTCTTGTGAAATCCCCTCCCCTTGAGTCTTGGCTGGAATAAGTGACTCACTTCTAATGAATAGAAGTTGGCCAAACTGAGGGGATGTCACTTTCAAGATTAGGTTTGAAAAAGACTCTGTCTCTGTCTTGTTTACTTGCTGCTTGCTCTAATGGAAACCAGCTGCCATGTTTTGAGATATTTTATGGAGAGGCCCACATGGCAAGGAACTGAGTAAGGACTCTCGCCAACAGCTAGTGGAAAGCTGAGCCCCCCCCCCCCATCCAACTGCCTCAAAGGAACCAATCCTGCCAAGTACCATGTGATTGAGCTTGGAAGAGAATCCTCACCCATGCAAGGCGCTTGAGATGGTTAGTCCCAATGGACACTTTGACTGCAGCATGTGATCTAGAGGACCCAGATGAGCCTGGATTCCTGACCCAGAAAACTAGAGATGACAAATGATTGTTGTTCTGAGACATTTTTGGGGAAATTTGTTACACAGCAATAGATAACAAGTATAGCACTCTCACTCCTTTACCTCCTCCCCAACACCCAGTAATTCCTTCTTCCATCATGTTTTTCTCTATACTGCTTATCACTACTAACATGCTTTTAATTTTACTTCTTGGTAGACTCCCCCAACATCTCCTAAAATGTAAGATTCATAGAGGCAGGAATTTTTGTCTTTTTCTAGTCATCAGTATGTCCTTTTCATCAATATATGTCTAATCAATGCCTGGCACAGAAGAGTCAGTCAATAAATATTTGGTGAATGAATACATGATATATTATGCATTGACAAATCATCTGTTTTTCCTCGTTCATTAGTCTTAAATTCCCAAAGAAAGTGGTTTCACCCATTAAACAATCTCTCATACAACCCATAAGCGTTAGAACTTTTTTTGTTACTTAATAAATATTTGCTCAGAGAATCAATTAATGAATAAATCAGGGGAAAATGTCTCTTGCTAAGTGCAGTACCAATTAAATCAGGGAAATGACAGGATGACCCATTATCTCGATGTCAGTGTCTTAAAAGGTTTAAGGAGCTGAGGCTATAATGGTAAAATAAAAACAAAAACAAATTTAAAAAAAAAAGAAAAGAAGAAAGAGAGAGAGGGAGAATTCTGGAGTTTGCTTTTCTACAAACAATATGTAGGTCATTGCCTTCCTGAGAAAATGAACTTATTTCTTTCCCATTATCCAAAAAAATCTATTAATGGAAAAAACAAATAAAATTTCCTCCTTTCTGGAAGAACTGCTTTTACCAATGTGACATAAGTAATTGTATATGCCTAGAAAGGAAGAGAAGTACCAGCCATCACTTTGTAAAAAGAATCAAGGTAGATTCTTGAGAGTTAAGGCTTCAGTCATGTTGAGTTACAGAGCTATGATGATAGACTCCCAGGTATGTTTAAAACAATATCCATGAACAAGACATCACTTAGGGCTCATAGGAAGAGAGTGTTGGTGACCTACATGTTCTCAATCACATCCACACACAAGGACCACACATGAGAGATCCTTTATGTGCATTTCCTCTTTGTCCTTTGCATCAAGCCAATTAACTCTCAATATTCACCAGATTAGAAAAGGTACAGTATTGTGTGGTAATAAGAAGCATGCACATTTTATTTTTAAAGTTAGGCTGAGTCCACTCTTCCTAGAACAAGGAGGTAACATAGGATATTTGGGGATAAATTCGTATGGGACAAAGGTGGGACAATTTGTTCAGATAATGGGTTTTACAAATTTGAAAAAGGTTCACCTAAATATATAAGTTATTTTGGTACCTAATATTTGCTCTAAATATCCTTCATATGTCTATTCACCTTCCCTAGAACTACATTTTTTGCCAATTCCTAACTTTTAACTAACTGATACGTAAGCCTTCACTTGGACTGACTACTAATATATATAATGGAAGAAACCTAGTTATTCAATATCCTTGAAAACTCTTGTTCTCTTGCAAGTCAAAATAGACTTATTTCGGAAAATGTGTTAAAACAGCATCCTACTCAAGTCGTTTCTTCCAGTGTCAAATGTGGTCATGGTCTTGTTTTGTATGAAACTAATGTCTTAGATTTACCACAATTCTCATGTTCTAAAAATAATCATCATAAGCAGGAGTTACATATATTAGTTACCTCTGGTCCCTCGCCATATCTTCCTCCTTCTCTCTGTCTGTCTTTCTCTTTCTTCCTCTTTCTCTCCCTCTGCTGATTTGAATGGACTTGAATTCTGGATCCTGTACACTTTTAAACCTTTTAGCTTCATTTCAAGAACTCCTTAAAATGGCATTCTACAAAACAGCTGCAGTTTAGGCTCTTCGTGTCACTTTACTGGTTAAGATCTGACATACAGAGTGGTTGGCCTACAGTTTCCAAACTAAAGTGGCAAAGATACATTAGTCTATTCTTTCTTCCTAAGGCTCTGACTCTTGCCTAGCTGTAATTAATACTTAGCAGAAATACTCCATCCAGTTCTATTTTCCTAAGGAGCTTTCCTTTCAGTTCATATGATCATCTAAGAGCTTAATGCACCTGATCAAAATCCACTTGGTTTGTAGAAAAGTTCGTACTTATCACCTGTATCTACTGCCAACAGAAACAATTCAGTTGTATATGATAGAGAATTCATCTTCCAGAGGGCAAAGAAGATCAACATGTCAACACCTGTCTAAGTATATACTCAAGAACAAAATTTCGAAGATTTTAATGCATGAAAAAAAAAAGATTTAGAGAAATTAAAGTGAACACAACAGAATAAAATTCTCTACTTCTAACTTATGTTAAAAAAAAGTCTAGAACTGGGCATCTGGCTGGCTCAATCAGTAGTGCACACTACTCTTGATCTCAAGGTCATGAATTCAAGGAGCATAGAGCTTATTTAAAAAAAAAATAGCCTCACACAAGATTGGGAAAAAAAGAGGAGGATTTTAACATAAATCTATAAACATGCATACTTTTATTTCCTCTCATATCATTATCTACAATTCTTGGAAAAAATTAACCTATTTTTCTTGAAAATTTTTGAGGGGGTGTGTAAAAGCACATTTCAATGCTTGAAGTTACATACCCATAAATGTATATACACTTATATATGCAATTATTTGCTTTCAAAAGAAATTATAAACTACTCCATCTGGTATTGAATGTAGAATATGATAAAGTCACTTTTAGATATCTACATATATAGTGTCAGGTAAAGGCTGACACTTTGAGAATACTTTTGACCAAAATTTCAAAAGAACTCAAGGTACATGACACACTACTTAAAGCACTCGCATAGGAAATTAAATTATCTTAATTGCATTTAACTCAATATTGACATTGACATTGCTGGACACAGAGCATTGCTGCCCCTTAAACAGAGGCCAGCAAGAGCAAAGCATAGGCTGAATGACTTTGTATAATAACAAAATAGAGCAATGCTTACCTTTTAATTCACTCTCCCCGCAGAGGATCTATGAGCTGGGTGCTCCCAGCTGAGCAATGGTAAAAATGTTCTTTAGTTAATAATAAAGGAAAGAAAACTCCAGACACCAAGAACCCGAGTTAACCATTGACACAGGTTTGTTCCTACAGTTCCACCTGAGAATCTACACAGGGAGCCCTTGGCATCTTATAAAGCAAGCGATAGCCGGTCAGCTGAGACAGAGGTTACCTCACTGCCCCGTCCCTCTGGAGGAGGTACAGCGTGAAGGGCATTCAAGCAAACCCTGACTAAGTTTTCATGAGGTCAGGGATATGAAGGAGGAAGATTTCCTGAGCCATAAATATGCTCAACAAATATTTACAAAACAGGGTTGTTGAGAGGTAACCTATGGAAATGCTTCTACTCAATGCAAAGAAATCCTTTTTACCAGAATTCCTGTCTACCTCTTAGCAGGTGAGGCTGAGATCAAATCCCAATGAAAACTGAGACAGGACAACTAGAAATAGCTAAGCATCCATTCATTCCTTTATTCAACCTGCCTTTAATGATTAGTTACACTGTACGGCGCAGTTCTAAAGAACTAGCATCTTTGACTAAGACTGACAAATGGAAGATGGAGATTGAGGGAGGGTCCTCCCTCCTCCAACCACAAGGACCAGAGCTTAGGACAGAAATGATTAATAAAAAACACAGTCTTTGGTTCACATCCAGGATGCACAGTCTTAGAGTTACTCTGCCCCAGCAATAGGTCCTAAGAGGTGAAATGAAGTGGTGAGAGATTGTGTGGTCAAGCTAGCTGACCAGAGGTCCGAAAACTGAAGAATGCAGAAGCGAAGAGATGGCTTTAAAATGGTAGAGCCAAGAGAAAGGTCCAGAAAATTGTGAAAGGCAGCCACAAGAAACTAAAGAAATAACAATCCCAAGCTCCTTAGGACCTGGGGGAGCTGTATCTAGAAAAGTTCAAAAAGAAGATTGTGCAGACAAGGAATTAATGTATGTCTTTACTCCAAAGAGCATTGGCAACTGGGGCACCCAGGAGGCCCCATCCGGTTCGTTCAGCCCTCCAAATTTAGGGGGTCATTTATGGGTTCTGACCATAGTTGGCATTTTGAGGTTTGGGCTTTTTCCCCCCATTTTTAAAAGCATGAACCCCTGAGGAAGCAAGACATGAATTTTAATGTTAGTGTTATCACCAGGTTTGTGATAGCGGGAGCTATGTACCCTGTCTGCATCCCAGTTGTCTCATCTATAAAATAAGGATGATAAAAACAAACACAAGACCTACCTTAGGAAGATTATTAGTGTCCCAAACCTGCTCGCTGTCATTAGGGATTTGACATTTTAACAGGAGCACTGATTGGCAAACTGCTACACAGCACCAGGCGTAAGAGTCTGAACCCTCTAAAGGATGTATCTTTTCAATTACCAGTAAATGTTAGGGAGGTGATGGACCCAGAGTTGCCTCTTCTGCAGAGAAATCTGAATACCAGGGAACTAGGGCACGTCTGTACTAACTGAGGCAATTTCCACTGTGGTTTATCCATAATAAATCTGACTTGGTCATGTAGTGAGTATTTTGTCACTTTCTCTGCTTGATTCCTTCCTTGTTTGAAAGCTGAGCTCCCTTTGTTAGCATTCCATCTGAAAGAACTTTTACAAGAACACCACGGTACACGTAACACCCTCCACTCCGCGAGGACCATTTCAGGAAAGGTAGCTTTGTTTGGGTGAGTGTTTGGATTGATCTGAGAAGATGAGACATCTAAACACAGCCTAAAAAAGACCGCAGAGAAGAGCAGGACAGCAGGCAAGATAGAGGACTTGGATGGTTTCCCAACTCCAACTGAGTCAGAAAATCACAGCGTGGCTTCATTCCTTTGTTTGAAGTAAATTCCCAGAACATCAGACACACCCATACTCACATGTAAGTAGAAAAACACTTTCTAAAGCCAGATGAAAATGATATCTGGGTTGGCTTTTCTGTTGCATGTCTATGCCTCCTAAATCTACCTTAACTGAAAATTAACTTCACTGAAGCTCAGCTTTGGTGAACTGCAATCCTCCCTGAAACAGAAAGAGATACCAAGGCAAATCAAAGGGGCCAGTGGGTGTTAGGATTTGTCAAGTAACCAGAGGATGAAAGAATCCATTAACAAAGCGTAAAAGCTTTAAGTGATAAAAAATTCTCTTTTTCCATAATCTGTACTTTATTGCCATTCAGTGATTTTAGTAATGGCCTAAAAAAGGAGTTTGCTTATACAAAGAGGCTACTTGTTATGTAGAAGTGTGTGTGGTATTATCACTCTGTCATTGAAAAATTGTTTTTGTTTGTTCAGCCCGATTCCTGTTTTTTTTTTTTTTTTTTTTTTTTTTGTTTGTTTGTTTTTAAGTCCTGTGAGCTAAAAACAAGTTTAAATGGTGAGGGCACAATTAAAAGAAGAAGATTCTGTGACATTTGGAAATTATATGAAATTCGATTTTCAGTGTCCATAAATCAAGTGTTTTTGGAATACGGCCACACTCACTGGTTTGCATATTGTCAATGGTTGTTTTCAGTCTACAATAGTAGAGTCCGGTGGCCCTCAGAGCCTCAACAGAGACCATGTAGCCATCAAAGACTAAAATATTTAGTATCTGGTGCTTTACAGAAAAATGTTTGCCAATCTCCACACTTGCTAACATACACAATTCACTCTTCTCCAATGACAATGTTCTTCTTCTCTGATTAATGATTAATACAGGGTTAACGCCAAGTGGACTGTATAATCTAATATGTTTCTATCATACAATCCAGCAATAATCCTCCTTGGTCTTTACCCAAAAGAGTTAAAAACTTTGCCCACACAGAAACCTACACATTGGCATTTAGAGCAGCTCTATTCACAGTTGCCAAAACCTGGAACCAACCAAGATGTTCTTCAGTTGGTGAATGGATAAGTAAACTGTGGTTAAAGCACGAAGGAATCTTAAATACATATTACTAAGTGAAAGAAGCCAATCTGAGAAGGCTACATACCATATGATTCCAACTATACGACATTCCAGAAAAGGCAAAACTATGGAGATAGTGGAAAGATTTGGGGAAGGGTAGCATGGAGAAAATAGGCAAAGCCCAGAGAACTTTCAGAGCAGTGGAAATACTCCTTAAAGTTTTAAAATGAATGATTCATGTCATTTTGCATTTGCCAAAACTCATGGAATATACACCACCAAGAATGAACCCTAAGGTAAGCTATAGGTGTGGTGCTTGTGATGGGTCCCTGTCGGTTCCCTCTTGATGAAAAAAAAAAAAACAAAAACAAAAAACAAAAAACAAAACAAAACAAAAAACAATGCACCACTCTAGTAAGTGATGTTGGTAATGGAATAAGCTACGCATGAGTTGGGGCAGGGACTAGATGGGAAATCTGTACCTTTCCTCAATTTTACTAAAAACCTACAACTGCTTTATAAAAAGCTGAAAAATCTTTTTAAAAAATCCTATCTTGGGGCACCTGGGTAGCTGAGTCAGTTAAGTGTCTGCCTTTGTCTCAGGTCATGATCCCAGGGTCCTGGCTCAGTGGAGAGCCTACTTCTCCTTCTGTCTCTGCTCCTCCCCTGCTCATGCCCTCTTTCCAGTGCATACGCACTCTCTCTCTCTCTCTCTCTCTCTCTGTCAAATAAAGAAATAAAATCTTTAAACAAATTTTTTTAAATCCTATCTTTCCTTCAAGTTCTTTTTATTAACCCCTTCCCTGTCTACTGTAAACATCAATTTATAATTTATTTTAAAAATGATTTTAAGAAAGAACAAACTTTCTAAAGGCACCGTTCTTTTTAATTTATATATTACAGTCCTTTGTTACACATCTCATTTCATTTACTGAATTTTATTTTTTTATTTTTTTAAAATATTTTATTTATTTATTCATGAGAGACACACACAGAGAGAGAGGCAGAGACACAGGCAGAGGGAGAAGCAGGCTCCCCACAGGGAGCCTGATACGGGACTCGATCCCGGGTCTCCAGGATCATGCCCTGGGCTGAAGGCAGGCGCTAAACCACTAAGCCACCCAGAGATGCCCCCCCCCTTTTTTTTTAAAAATTATTTCATTTACTGAATTTTAAATAGTAGTGGGTGAGGACTGGCTTGAGTCTTAACGATCTTTGAATCCAACAATGCATCTAGCAGACACCTGTGACACTGTAGATGCTAAGCAATGAATGCTTTTATTAAGTATGCCATATTTTTGGGGGGTTGTCTAAACACTTATTCTTTTTTAACTCCCCTGGACTCTTTTATTTTGTCCAAGGTCTTAATGAGCTTCTCTATCATTCCTTGTCCATTTCCTCCTTGTTCTGACACTGATGAAGACCTTCTTGCTGCCCAGCTACTCTACTCAACATCATAATTACTAGAAGATGCCTACATTTTTGTTTTGTTTTATTTATTTATTTTTTTTGTTTTCTCTCCATCATCCTAACTCTCAGATTTTTCTTTGTTGTGTCTCATTTCACTTGAAAGAGTCTGATGTACTCTGTTCCAAACCCTCCAGAATATATATATGATAAGCAGCAGAGGAAAATGGGGGGCAGGGGGAGTTAATCTGAATTTACTTTCTTTTTTTTTCAGATTTTATTTATTTATTCATGAATGACACTGAGAGAGAGGCAGAGACACAGGTAGAGAGAGAAGCAGGCTCCCTGTGGGGAGCCCAATGGTGGATTCGATTCTGGGACCCTGGGATCACCACCTGACCTGAAGGCAGATGCTCAACCACTGAGCCACCCAGGCATCCCTGAATTTTCTCTCTTAAGGAGCAATCCAGTCCAGCATTTTTATATGATGATGTCCTACATTTCAACAAATGATTTAAATAAAAATGATGAAGTTAACTGTATCAAAAAAAGCCTGATATATTGAATCATATATTCAATGATTATTGAATGTTAGCAAAGAGGCTAACAGCTGCATTATCCTTCCTAGAGGAGGAAAAAATGGGAAGAATACCTTTAAAAATCCCTCACAGATATTAAAGTGATATATGTGTTTTTTGGAGATAATAT